TTTTTTTTTGTTTTGCCAAAATACTATCACCATCCATTATGTAATTAGTTTAAATTTCAAGTATTTGGATAACTCAATATGAAAACTATTTTTAAAACAATGCTTTTTCTTATCCTAATAAAATATTTAGAGTTAAGATGATAAAAAAACATCTACATAAGTGGGTTCTTTGTGTTTTTAAAAGAACTACATAAAACTTCTGTTTACTTCTGTTATCTAGACTTGTGATACTCGGGAAAGAAGGAGATAATTTCAATATTAAGCCTGGTGCTTAACCCTTAACTTTCTTTCTTTTAACACAAAAACAAAATATTAGCTAGTGTGCTGAGTTAGTTCTAATGATACTCAATAACCTGAACAAGATTATTAAATAGTTTTCTAAGGATATCAGTACATAGCTAGTGACTTATCAAAGACAAAAAAACAAAATAATAATGAATGGAGTGGGTTCATTAAGCAATTATTAACTGAAATCACTTTATATTTGAAAAAACCTCTAGATCAAAAGGGTTTTTTAAAATTACATCTTTCTCCTCTTAAACATTTCAAAAGACATGAAGATATTTACTCCCCCAAAAAATTGCAGCTCACATCACCATTCTGTAAGTGCCCAATCTGCTAGCCAAGCAAACATTTTAAGTAAAATACCAAGTACTTTTGGACAGAGGCTTATGCTATTAGAGGGAAAAAGTATAAGAGCTAGTCTCCAGCTAAGATGCCTTCATTTGTTTTTGCAAATGTGGGTTGGGCAGAGCCACCATATTTTCTTTTCTGACTCAGTTCCTGGTACAGGTGTTATCTTGCTAATGGATGTATTCCTAAAGAACAAAAAGTATGTTGAGACTCTATTAGACACAGCAGATAGACATGGACCCCACTGTTCCCTCCTGAAGTCCTACTAAAATTAAAGCAACGATAATGGAATAAATAGACAAGAACAGAGAGGGGAGGAAGAGTTGATAGTAAAAAGAAAACTGGACATTGTAAAGTAGCTGGACATATGCTAACATGGGAAGGTGGACAACAGCAGTGGGAGAAGGGTGCCACAGAGCCCCCTAGCGGCTGAGGAATCAGAGGCCTCGAACAGAGTCTGCAGGTGGGGACGCAGGTGGGGACACAGGGTGGGGCTGCAAACAGGAGGACTCACTGAATATCTGTATCAGATCTTTCCTTCCCCTCATGCCTTCCCCCTTTCAGTTCTCTGAATGCTGACAGCCAGGCTCATGGCTCCTAGGCAGGAGATTGAAGGATCCCACTTTAGTGAAAATGACCAGCCCAAAAGAAAGTGGTAGTTGGGACTTTTTCTCACATGGCTCCATTAGTTTAACCTGTAATGAAATCTTCCAGTCAATCGGAGGCTCTGCCCATGCACACAGCGTCTGATGAGTGTTTTAGTGCCACACTAAAGACATCTGAGGAAAGAAGTTGGCGATACAAGAGAACATGCAAAATATTGGAACCAATAGAATCAATGTAGGGAATGAAGAAAACGACAAAGTTTTAAATGAGACATTAGAGATAGTGGAAGATACTGTCATCAGGAAACAAGAATAAATTTTTAAAACATTATTACTAAAAAAAAAGAGTTCTAGGAAATTATAATTTTGATAGAAGAAATAAAAATTCAAAAGGAGGGCTGCATGATAAAAATAAAATTGAGAAAATCTTAAAAGAACAAATACAGAAAAGAAAAGAAAAAATTATAGGACCAGTAGGGAGATTCACATCTGTTTGTAGGAGAGAACAGAGAAAATAGGGAGAGGTGATTGTCAAAGAAATGATTGAAGACTTGGGAAGTTTTTTGCTATTATTTACAGGTGGGGACACAGGTGGGGCTGTAAACGGAAGACTCGCTGAATATCTGTATAAGATTTTCACTCCATTCCGGTGTTCTATACCACTGTAGGATGACTATGGTTAATAATAATGCATTATAATTATAGTTTCAAATAGCTAGGAGGAGGAGATCGAATATTCCCAACACAAAGAAATGATAAATGTTTGAGATGATGGATATGCTAATTATCCTGATCTCATCACTACAATTACAAGTATTGAAACGTCGCTATGTATCTGATAAATATGTTCAATTATTATTTGTCAATTAAAATAAATAAATAATTGATTAAAGACGATTTATCAGAACTAAAGGACATGACTCTTCAATAAATGGTGTTGAGAAAACTGAATATCCACACACGGAAGAACGAAACTGTACCCTTATCTCACACCATGTACGAAAACTAACTCAAAATGAATTAAAGACTTAAACATAAGACCTGACACTGTATAGATACTAGAAGAAAACAGAGGGGAAAAACTATATGACATTGGTCTGGGCCCCAGTGGACCCCAAAAGCACAGACAACAAAAGTAAAAACAGACAAATGGGATTAAATCAAACTAAAAAGCTTCTGCACAACAAAGGAAACAACTAATGGAGTAAAGAGACAACCTATGGATTGGGAGAGAATATTTGCAAGCCGTACATCTGATAAGGGGCTAACATCCAAAACATATAAAGAGCTCAAACAACTCTACAGAAAGAAAACAAATAATCCGATTAAAAAATGGGCAAGGGACCCAAATAGACATTTCTCAAAAGGTGACATACAAATGGCCAAAAGATATCTGAAAAAATGCTCAACACCACTCATCATTAGGGAAATGCAAATTAAAACCACAGTGAGATACCACCTCACACCTGTCAGAATGGCAACCATCAAAAAGACAAAAGATAAGTGTTGGCAAGGATGTGGAGTAAATGGAACCGTTGTACGCTGTTAGTGGGAATGTAATTAGTATAGCTATTATGGAAAACTATATGGATGTTCCTCAAAAAACTAAAAACAGAATTACCATATGATCCAGCAATTTCACTTCTGGGTATCTACTCAAAAGATTTGAAATCAGTATGTTGAAAAGGTATCTATACTCCCATATTCACTGCAGCACTATTCACAACAGCCAAGTTATGGAATCAACCTAAGTGTCCCTCAACAGACGAATAAATAAGATGTGGTAGAGAGACCATTCAGCCTTAAAAAGAACGAAAATCTGTCATTTGCATAACAACACATATGGAATTGGAGAACATTATGCTAAATGAAATAGACCAGACCCAGAAAGACAAGTACCGTATAATCTCACTTGTATGTGGAATCTCTTAACAATTGAACTCATACAAGCAGAGAGTAGAATGGTGGTTACCAGAGGATGGTGAGAGGGGGTGGGGGAGATGGGAAGATGATGGTCAAAGGGTACAAAACCTCAGTAAAACAGGAGGAATAAGTTTTTTTTTTTTTTGAGATCTAGTATACCATATGGTAAATATTGTTAATGTATATTTTACATTTCAAAATTGCTAACAGTAAATTTCAAATGTTCTCACCACAAAAAATAAGTATTTGAGGTGATGGTTATGTTAATTAGTTTGATT